GGTAGCCGTCTTGGCCCCTTACTTTTTTATATTTTTACTAATGACCTACCACTAGCATTGAGTAAAACCTGTGTGTCTATGTACGCTGATGAATGGGTGGCTAGTAATAAGCCTTTTAAAATGATTAGCCTTTTAAAATAATTAGCCTTTTAAAATTATAAACTTGGATTAGCAAACACAATGTGCCATTGGAACACAGGACTGATGGTTGCTGATACTGGGCCTCTGTACGCCTATGTACAGTGGGGAAAAAAAGTATTTAGTCAGCCACCAATTGTGCAAGTTCTCCCACTTAAAAAGATGAGAGAGGCCTGTAATTTTCATCATAGGTACATGTCAACTATGACAGAAAAAATGAGGAAAAAAAATACAGAAAATCACATTGTAGGATTTTTAATGAATTTATTTGCAAATTATGGTGGAAAATAAGTATTTGGTCAATAACAAAAGTTTCTCAATACTTTGTTATATACCCTTTCTTGGCAATGACACAGGTCAAACGTTTTCTGTAAGTCTTCACAAGGTTTTCACACACTGTTGCTGGTATTTTGGCCCATTCCTCCATGCAGATCTCCTCTAGAGCAGTGATGTTTTGGGGCTGTCGCTGGGCAACACAGACTTTCAACTCCCTCCAAAGATTTTCTATGGGGTTGAGATCTGGAGACTGGCTAGGTCACTCCAGGACCTTGAAATGCTTCTTACGAAGCCACTCCTTCGTTGCCCGGGCGGTGTATTTGGGATCATTGTCATGCTGAAAGACCCAGCCACGTTTCATCTTCAATGCCCTTGCTGATGGAAGGAGGTTTTCACTCAAAATCTGACGATACATGGCCCCATTCATTCTTTCCTTTACACGGATCAGTCGTCCTGGTCCCTTTGCAGAAAAACAGCCCCAAAGCATGATGTTTCCACCCCGATGCTTCACAGTAGGTATGGTGTTCTTTGGATGCAACTCAGCATTCTTTGTCCTCCAAACACGACGAGTTGCGTTTTTACCAAAAAGTTCTATTTTGGTTTCATCTGACCATATGACATTCTCCCAATCCTCTTCTGGATCATCCAAATGCACTCTAGCAAACTTCAGACGGGCCTGGACATGTACTGGCTTAAGCAGGGGGACACGTCTGGCACTGCAGGATTTGAGTCCCTGGCGGCGTAGTGTGTTACTGATGGTAGGCTTTGTTACTTTGGTCCCAGCTCTCTGCAGGTCATTCACTAGGTCCCCCCGTGTGGTTCTGGGATTTTTGCTCACCGTTCTTGTGATCATTTTGACCCCACGGGGTGAGATCTTGCGTGGAGCCACAGATCGAGGGAGATTATCAGTGGTCTTGTATGTCTTCCATTTCCTAATAATTGCTCCCACAGTTGATTTCTTCAAACCAAGCTGCTTACCTATTGCAGATTCAGTCTTCCCAGCCTGGTGCAGGTCTACAATTTTGTTTCTGGTGTCCTTTGACAGCTCTTTGGTCTTGGCCATAGTGGAGTTTGCAGTGTGACTGTTTAAGGTTGTGGACAGGTGTCTTTTATACTGATAACAAGTTCAAACAGGTGCCATTAATACAGGTAACGAGTGGAGGACAGAGGAGCCTCTTAAAGAAGAAGTTACAGGTCTGTGAGAGCCAGAAATCTTGCTTGTTTGTAGGTGACCAAATACTTATTTTCCACCATAATTTGCAAATAAATTCATAAAAAATCCTACAACGTGATTTTCTGGATTTTTTTCCCTCAATTTGTCTGTCATAGTTGACGTGTACCTATGATGAAAATTACAGGCCTCTCTCATCTTTTTAAGTGGGAGAACTTGCACAATTGGTGGCTTACTAAATACTTTTTTCCCCCACTGTAGATATTCCATTAAAAAATCAGCCGTTTCCAGCTACAATAGCCATTTACAACATTAACAATGTCTACACTCTATTTCTAATCTTTTTTATGTTATTTTAATGGACCAAAAAATTTGCTTTTCTTTCGAAAACAAGAACATTTCTAAGTGACCCCAAACTTTTGAACGGTAGTGTACATACCCCACAAGACATGCCACCAGGGGTCTCTTCAGTCCCCATGTCCAGAACAGACTCTGGGAAACGCACAGTACTACACAGAGCCATGACTACATTGAACTCTCTTCCACATCAAGTAATTCAAGTGAGCAGTTAAATCATTATTATTGTTATTTTGATAAAACCTCACCTCACAACGCGGACAGTAGAGACACACACATACACTCTACACACAAACACATTGTAATATTGTTGTATTGTAGTATTGTACATTTGTAATGAGAGAGTAATAATGTATTGTATGATGTAGTGTTTTATGTATGACGTAAGCTGTTGTTTTGTTTGTTGTTTTGTAGTTGTTTAAATCCTGTTTGGACCACAGTAAGAGTAGCTGCTGCCTTGGCAACAGCTAATGGGGATCCTAATACATACTAAATAGATGAGCTAAGACCTGTAAATACAATATGTAATTCTAGCCGTCTTGCTTCTTAATTGCTTTTTTTTTTAGCTTTACAGCTCTTCAAACAGTACAGCTGGATAAGGCTTCCTTTTAAATTGGGATTTCAAAGCGTGATTTTATTATTCTAATAGGGCGTTTGAACACCAGTGAGACACCAAGACTACGGTGAAATCACACAGATAAACTGGCTAACACTGACTATGCGTCATGGCAAACTACCAGTTGCAGATAATAATGCTGGTGATTATGATGGATTCCCATCACTGATCATTCTGTTTTGACAGATTAACCCACCCCAATAGAGATAGACATTAGATAGTTAATGATAACAGGCGACTCCAGATAAATTCAACAGTTTGGGACTGTTGTGGCAGCGTGCATTCAATCAGAGCATGCCGTTATCAGGAGCAAAAAAAATAAGAAATTAATTGGGAACTGTAAAATGTCTATTATCAGGAGTTAGTTGACTGCATTCACAAACTTCTCTGGCTCACCAAGACTATCAGAACGAGAAACTGACCAGTGGGTAGGGAGTTTGGGAAATGAAAATCTAGGACTGATACAGATGTACACGGCTCATACTAAAAGCATTATGCATTAGATGAGGTACATTACAGTAAAAAAAGAAATATCCCAGAAATCCTGGTTGGAAGATTCCTGGAATCAAGAGGAAATAATCAGGAAATCCATGAGTCCTCCAACCAGGAGTTCTGGAAAACCTGGTAATTTTGGGAAAGTTACAGAAATGTTGCAATCCCTTAGAAAGACAGACAAAACAGTTAGAATTACACACAAACACAACACCAAATGACCCTCTCACACAGACAAAACAATCAGAATTACACACAAACACAACACCGAATGACCCTCTCACACAGACAAAACAATCAGAAATACACACAAACACAACACCGAATGACCCTCTCACACAGACAAAACAATCAGAATTACACACAAACACAACACCGAATGACCCTCTCACACAGACAAAACAATTAGAATTACACACAAACACAACACCGAATGACCCTCACACAGACAAAACAATTAGAAGAACTACACACAAGCACACAACAAAAATTCAGAACTACCCTGACACAGACACCACAAACTTCTCAGAAGCGCACAGACAAAGCAGCTAGCATGCAAGAACAGGTCAGGGAGAAGGCAGTGGAAAACAAACTAAATGAAAGAGATGTAGGTAGTTTTGGGGAAAGTTGGAGAAGAGGAGGCATGAAGTGGTAACTGAATTTGAGATCACAAACGTGTAAAAAGACAGACGATGTGATTCCAGGTCTAACATTTATTAGATCTAATCAAACACAGATACAGAATTCATTGTCATGATTATCTACAACAGGCATCTACAGAGGGAGAGGATGATACCAGACAGAGTGTGACATGCAATTCAACAATGATACTGTTCATGGTAAACTAGCTCTATCATCACTGTCTATAATTATCACCATCTTGTGAGAAAAAAAAAAACTGTTTTAGTTTTCTTTCTCTATATATTTAATTCAATTTTAAAACCAGAGTGAAATACTTATTGGCTTATTTGTTATCTGCATTGTTGAATTGCATTGCATTAGAGGATGGGATGGAAGAAAATACAGCTTTTCAATTAAAATAATGCAATACAAATAATTCAAAGTGCAGGTACATGATCATCTTTTCAAATAACAATTTCATAACTCTTTGGTTACGTTTTATCTTGTCTGTAGCTGTGTGCTGGGTATAGAACTACAGACTAATTATACATTCATAATGCCAGCGTAGAGTTTTTATTCATTGACATGAATCTGGCTGTGATTCATGGCAATCTATTTCAGGTTTTCTATTATAATCAATCAACCAAACAATTCACACTTGCATGGTAATTGTAGCTTGCTACAATTGGTTGCTGTCAAATTATGGTATGTCTGTTTTTCATGGATTGTAATGACAATTGTCATGTTGATCATTAAAGCATTTTGTAGGCATTATGAATGTATACTGAGAGTTTATTCACCTGGGTCAAATCTGTATCCTCATACACTCTGTGGTACAACAATATGAAACTTTCTACGGTTGACTATCACCTCAAGTCTCAGTTAGGTTGTAAAACCCATCTGTTCAGTGGTGTGCGAATGTAAATGTAATTCATTTCTAAATATATACATCACTATTTACAATTGAACTCAACTTACGATTGAAAGTGAACACAAACAATGCTATCTATGTTCATTAGAACATATTAAAAGGAGTAAAAATAATTGGGGTAAAACAGAGAGCAGTTGTAAATAAAGTGCATTGAAGTCAGTATAAAAGGAGTTGTCGTTGGAGATCAGGTCACCCTCAGACACACATAATCACACACTCTCCGTCTCTCATACATACACAAACACATACACACACACACACACCAACACACTAATGCATAGTCACAATGTGGAAATACCTGAGCTGGACTGGCCATTTTCACATCCATCCTGGGAGGATTGGGTGCAGGGCGCAGGAGGGGTAAAGTTAGCCTCAGGCAGGCTGCCCTCGTGGGACAGCGGCACGGGCGAGGGGGGCAGCAGGGTGCTGTTGGGGCTGTTGATGTCCCCCTCTCCCACCAAGGTCAGGTCAGCATGGGTGTCTTCCTCCAGCGTCCTGAGGCCCGGGCCTCTAGCCTCCAAGGGGCGGGGTATGGGGGAGAGGGTGGCGCCGAAGGTGGAGATGGGGTGGCGGGGTGGGTGCAGTGCCCGGCGCCCCGCAGCGGAGTGGGAGTGTCCGTTGGCGCTGCTGAGGGAGGAGTCCAGGCTCTCGGAGCGCAGGCTGGCGTTGAGGGGGCCGCGGGCAGGGGTACCACCCACCCTGTTCAACCTGCCTACCACCTGGCCCTGTTCGATGGAGGCGGGGGTGGAGCATGCCACGTCTAGGGAGGCAGTGGAGGGGGAGCAGGGGGTTAACCGCAGGAAGTCAGGTAACTCCAGGTCCTCTTTGTTCAGGAGGCCTCTCTGGGCATTTCTCCGGCTGCTCTGCGCCCGGCTTAGGAGCTCGAAGAATTCTAAAGAGAAAGAAATCAGTTACTTCCTATTTCTAAAGCCCTCCCCAAGAACAAGGAAACAGGTCAAATAAAAAGGGGATTAGTTAGTTTAACGTGGACAGTACACAGCCCCACGCTGCACTGAGAGATAATTGTGAAGGTTGAAGGCTCCTTTTAGTGCTGCCAAAGAGATGGTGTTGGTGACGCAGCGAAGCAAAGCTCAGAGAAGCCACCACAGAGTAGAAAGACAGGGGGATGATTTACCTTCAGCTTCATCTATATTAATCTTTTTCGGTTTTCTCTTTTCCGTAGGGAGCGACGGGTCTGGTCCGCTTGCCTTTCCTGATGACCTGTCATCTCCCTGCAGACGCAACAATAACAACGCACTCCATTAAGGGGGAGGAAGGAGGCCGTGTACTAACAACACTACAACACATCCAGGCCAGATTGACTTACGCTGTAAGTGTTTAAGTCTTCGCACCTGTTCCCCGATTATTTTCAGAAGTAAAGGAACCCCCCAAAACAACCATAAAACACAGGCGTGTTGTTCCTTTGATGCGTGTTGTTTCTTTGATGCTTAGTAAATTAGGTTACTGTAATATCCCTAGGGGACAAGGTCAGGTCTCAACTATAAAGGCGACCTGGAGGCTGAACTACAAAGCAGGGGGTCAAGTCAGTCAGTGTTCAAGTCAGCTGCAGCCAGCATTCAAGCAAGGAAACCACTTATTATGTGACATTAAATTGTTAAGAAGCAGCGTAGCAGGGGAGCCGAACACAGAGCACATTTAGAACTTTAAGGATACTTGAGAAAAGTGAAAACAGGGATAAAAGGAGGAGGAAGAAGTCTCCTTACTGTTGCTGAAAGACTCCTGCTGGTCAAAGATGGCAGATGGGCTTTCAAGGAGGCTGACTTGGACTTGGAATCTATAGAGAGATAAGAGAAAAGCAACAAGGAGGTGAATCTGAGCCAATGAGCCATCCCACGCATCCTCCATAACTCTGATATCTTTGTTTATCACTGGAAGTCAGTGGGACAACAAAACAGGACATTGATTACAAGAGCGGTTTAAATCCCTGGAAACAGATGGGCTGAAGTTCAAGGTCAACATTGGAAAAATGTTGCCACTGGATTAATCCAGTCACTATCTTAGGGTGTTTGGGGATTTGAGTATGCCATTGGGTCACTGTTAGCCTGGTCCCAGATCTGTTTGTGCCGTCTTGCTAACTCCTATGGACAGTAACCATAGGGGCCCCGTGTAGCTCAGTTGGTAGAGCATGGCGCTTGCAACGCCAGGGTTGTGGGTTCGTTTCCCACGGGGGGCCAGTATGAAAATGTATGCACTCACTAACTGTAAGTCGCTCTAGATAAGAGCGTCTGCTAAATGACTAAAATGTTAAATGTGTTGGTATAACTGCTGTCAGCGTGCTAGCTTAGCATGTAGCGCTACCTCCCTGAACCTACCTCTGACTGGGCTTGAACCAAGGTCCTCTACCTCGCCAACACACCTGACTGCCTGCTTGACAATGTGCAAACCGATTGAGCTATACAACAGGTACCGATTTGATAGCTCCAACGGTGACATTTCAAGCTAGCTGTGGAGTGAGCTTGTGGTACGTCCTTAACTCGGTTACACTGGCAAGACAAACAGATTGACATGAATGCTGGCACAAACAGATCTGGGACCATGCAAGGTCACTGTAGGAGTGAGTGGAAACAGTGACCCTCTTCAGGGTTGGTTGACCTTGTCTCTTGTCTTAGCATGTGTTTTTGGAGTTTGGTGTGGTGGCGGTCTTACCTTTCCCTGAGGTAGCAGGATCCGCTCTTTCCAGCACTATGCGCAGGCCGTCGAGGCTGGATATGGGCGCCCCTAGGTCTAAAGGCTCCGTTTCTCCACTCTGTCAAAATACCCAGCATTTTAGCATGTTTCGCTTGCTAGCATTATTAGCACATTCCCATCCATTTCAGCAGATTAGCATGATACCATATTAGCATGTCATACAAACATGTAGCGTATCATGTCAACTTCTGTGTACTATCATTAACCATGTAAGAAATGGAAGCCATCGCTCTATTTAGAATGTGGCTTTAGCTTCCTGTATAATACTAGGGTAAATGCTTGGAAACCCACCACAGGACCAAAATAAACTAACTAACTGGCAAGGATTTTGGGGAGAAGGGAGGAGTCTTTCTACCCCGGTTCATCCCTCATGTTTCAGGAGTGTAGTCATTCATAATTATAGCTCTCTTTCTGCAAAATCTGAGTCTGGTTGAGTCAGAATGAGCTAACCACCCATAACATTTGAAGAGGATGCGGTTCCTTCCCCCTTCCAAGCCAATGAGACTACACCCAGTGCCATGCTCTACAGAAGAGCTGGGCCTGGTTGGATACACAGCTGCAAACAGAAAACCTTGAGGCGACCCAGCCAGACGTACTATTTTGGCTACCAGATCGTTGAGGTGGAGGCCGTACTTCGCCACGACAGGACGCAGGACCTCGGTGACGGGTTTGGTGGGTTTGGCCTTCAAGCCCACAGACCGATTAATGGGTACCAGGTCCAGCCTAAAAATAGAGGGAAATTAAATATACAGATACTTTCTCTAACCCAATCATATGATTTTATTATGATTCTCTTGGGAGAATGGAGGTGCGAAGAGTTATTTCAAATGTCACATTGGTAAATAAAAAGGGGGGAATGAGAGAGAGAGAGAGAGAGAGAGAGAGAGAGAGAGAGAGAGAGAGAGAGAGAGAGAGAGAGAGAGAGAGAGAGAGAGAGAGAGAGAGAGAGAGAGCGATATGGAGAAATACAAATATTGAGATACCCAACAGTATGTAGACACCTGCTCATCGAACATCTCATTCCAAAATCATGGCCATTATAATAGAGTTGGTCCCCCTTTTGCTGCTATAACAGCCTCCACTCTTCAGGGAAGGCTTTCCACTAGATGTTGGAACATTGCTGCGGGGACATTGCAGTCGGCGTTCCAATTCATCCCAAAGGTGTTCAATGGGGTTGAGGTCAGGGCTCTGTGCAGGCCAGTCAAGTTCCTCCACACCGATCTCGACAAACCATTTCTGTATGGACCTCGCTTTGTGCACAGGGCCATTGTCATGCTGAAACAGGAAAGGGCCTTCCCCAAACTGTTGCCACCAAGTTGGAAGCACAAAATCGTCTAGAATGTCATTGTATGCTGTAGCGTAAAGATTTCCCTTCACTGGAACTAAGGGGCCTAGCCCGAACCATGAAAATCATCCCCAGACCATTATTCCTCCTCCACCAAACTTTACAGATGGCACTATGCTTTGGGGCAGGTAGCGTTCTCCTGGCATCCGCCAAACCCAGATTCATCCGTCGGACTGCCAGATGGTGAAGCGTGATTCATCACTCCAGCTAACGCGTTTCCACTGCTCCAGAGTCCAATGGCGGCGAGCTTTACACCACTCCAGTCAACGCTTGGCATTGCGCATGGTGATATTAGGCTTGTGTGCGGCTGCTCGGCCATGGAAACCCATTTCATGAAGCTCTCAACGAATAGCTATTGTGCTGATGTTGCTTCCAGAGGTAGTTTGGAACTCGGTAGTGAGTGTTGCAACCGAGGACAGACACTTTTTACGAGCTACGCGCTTCAGCACTCGGCGACCCTGTTCTGTGAGCTTGTGGGCTACCACTTTGTGGCTGAGCCATTGTTGCTCCTAGACGTTTCCCTTTCACAATAACAGCACTTACAGTTGACCAGGGCAGCTCTAGCAGGGCAGAAATTTGATGAACTGACTTGTTGGAAAGGTGGCATCCTATGACGGTGCCACGTTGAAAGTCACTGAGCTCTTCAGTACGGGCAATTCTACTGCCAATGTTTGACTATGGAGATTGCATGGCTGTGTGCTCGATTTTATACACCTGTCAGCAACGTGTGTGGCTGAAATAGTCAAATCCACTAATTTGAAGGGGTGTCCACATACTTTTGTATATATAATGTATACAGTAGATGCATCTGCTATTACCTGAACAGGGTGCGCTTTTCCATTCTGAGGTCCCGTGAGCTGAGGGTCATGCAATCTTGGTCCAGCACTAAAGGCTAAACAAAATAGAAAACAACATGAAAACCTACTCACAAAGCCATGAAGCGATGCCTAACCAATATTATAATAATAGTAATATATGCCATTTATCAGACGCTTTTATCCAAAACAACTTATAGTCATGTGTACATAAATGTTTTCGTATGTGTGGCCCCAGCGGGAACTAACCACTTAATACCAGGGATGTTAAAGTTAACGCGTTAATAACACGTTAACGTGTGACATGTTTATCGGCACAATTTTTTTGGATGCCATTAATCGCGGCTCCATTTCTTCACTGCACATAACCTTTTAAGCGCAGAACCCAACACAGAACACAGCTACAGTCAATGTTTGCGTTTCTAGCTACATTGCTGAAGACTGTGTGCCTCTAGCGCAAATCATGTAAAAGTTATGCCCAATATTTATTCTTTCTGCTGCGGATTCGTGCGCATGTCGAAGGCCTTTTTAAACTACTCGCAAGACAAAACATTTTGGTTTGATAACAAACAACATTGTTTAGCTAGCTAGAAACCTGATAACTTTACTACTGACTAGGCTATGCACAAATGTAGATGGAACAGGAAGAACTGAAAAGGGATAGGGTACTCAAAGAGATGCTTCGAAGGTAGGCTGCATATGCAAGAGTGGGGTATGTATGATTGTGTGTGTGTGTGTGTGTGAGAGCAGGAGTAAGTGAGAGAGAGAGGGAAGGAGGGAGAGTGTGGAGGCCTGTGTGTGTAAAGTTTGCTGAGCAGTACAGATGGTTACAGTGTTTTCATGATATTGTCGGACAAGTTTAAAAGCTCTTTGTTCTTCGTATCCAGAGACTGAGGCTTTAACATTTCTTAAAGATGCACTATGCAGAAATCGCTTCGGCATTTCCTGGTTGCTAAAATTCTAATAGTTTCAGTTTATGTGGCAAAACAAGCAAGTATAGTGTAGAGAATCATTAATTGTACCATCTAAACCGCTGTGAAATATATTTTTCATAACCAAAAATATTGTATTTTCAGCTGTTTGAAGCTGGTGTACAAAACCGAAACTTAACACGGGAAGCATAGAAATAGCGCACATAGAACGAATCTACTGCTTCTTAAACTTTCTCTCAATGAGAATGACAGATCTATAACTCACATTTCTATATGAATTTGGTCGGGTCGCACAAAAAGTTACACACTGCAGCTTTAAAGCTGTGTGTGCGTGTGTGTGTGTGTGTGTGTGTGGCTGTAGACTTGTTAATTTAGCTGACAATATATGCTTATTAGTCCCTTATATTATATGATTTTATAGTAAGAAGAATATAATCGAACTTAGCTGAATAAAATAGAAAGGATATTTTCCCATTCCGGAGCGAGTGCGCATATGAAGTGGCCATGTTGAGCGTAAAAGTTATAATTTGAAACAGGTCCTATATGATAGATTTATAGTTATTTGGCAACTTTAGTTGTGAATGATACAAACCTTAATGTCTTAGAAATCAAAACATATATGGGCTGCATGAAGCGACTATAGGCTATTGATGATTTGAGAAAGTAACAAAAAAAGCTTGCGCTCTGTTCCTAGTCTCAGGCTGCACACGCTGTTCTCTCATCGACTGATCATATTTTCACCCATCAGACTATTTTCAATATAATCTTGTCTTTACTAATATGTAAAATTTGTTTAGATTTAGAATGGCCCATTATCAAATGGGCGGGAACAGGTGCAGGGGAAAAAATACAGTGAGGGAAAAAAGTATTTGATCCCCTGCTGATTTTGTACGTTTGCCCACTGACAAAGAAATGATCAGTCTATAATTTTAATGGTAGGTTTATTTGAACAGTGAGAGACAGAATAACAACAACAAAATCCAGAAAAACGCATGTCAAAAATTTTATAAATTCATTTGCATTTTAATGAGGGAAATAAGTATTTGAACCCCTCTCAATGAGAAAGAGTTCTGGCTCCCAGGTGTCTTTTATACAGGTAACGAGCTGAGATTAGGAGCACACTCTTAAAGGGAGTGCTCCTAATCTCAGCTTGTTACCTGTATAAAAGACACCTGTCCACAGAAGAAATCAATCAATCCGATTCCAAACTCTCCACCATGGCCAAGACCAAAGAGACCTACACAAGGCTGGAATGGGCTACAAGACCATCGCCAAGCAGTTTGGTGAGAAGGTGACAAGAGTTGGTGCGATTATTCGCAAATGTAAGAAACACAAAAGAACTGTCAATCTCCCTCGGCCTGGGGCTCCATGCAAGATCTCACCTTGTGGAGTTGCAATGATCATGAGAACGGTGAGGAATCTGCCCAGAACTACACGGGAGGATCTTGTCAATGATTTCAAGGCAGCTGGGACCATAGTCACCAAGAAAACAATTGGTAACACACTACGCCGTGAAGGACTGAAATCCTGCAGCGCCCGCAAGGTCCCCCTGCTCAAGAAAGCACATATACAGGGCCGTCTGAAGTTTGCCAATGAACATCTGAATGATTCAGAGGAGAACTGGGTGAAAGTGTTGTTGTCAGATGAGACCAAAATCGAGCTCTTTGGCATCAACTCAACTCGCCGTGTTTGGAGGAGGAGGAATGTTGCCTATGACCCCAAGAACACCATCCCCACCGTCAAACATGGAGGTGGAAACATTATCCTTTGGGGGTGTTTTTCTGCTAAGGGGACAGGACAACTTCACCGCATCAAAGGGACGATGGACGGGTCCATGTACCGTCAAATCTTGGGTGAGAACCTCCTTCCCTCAGCCAGGGCATTGAAAATGGGTCGTGGATGGGTATTCCAGCATGACAATGACCCAAAACACACGGCCAAGGCAACAAAGGAGTGGCTCGAGAAGAAGCACATTAAGGTCCTGAAGTGGCCTAGCCAGTCTCCAGACCTTAATCCCATAGAAAATCTGTGGAGGGAGCTGAAGGTTCGAGTTGCCAACGGTTTTGTCATGCTTGGGCTCATATATAGGCCTATGCTATGCATAAGATTTAATATGCGTATGGGTGTTTTAAATTAATCATCACCTTAGAAAGCGCTGTCCATTTCGTTGTGTTAGGCTTTGAAACAACATCCAACACAACCATGTTTTCCAATCAATTTCAACCTGTTGTTGAACTTCTTTCTTCAAATTGATCAATCACAGTGATGTGAGTTTTAAAAGCACATACTGTTTTTATGATAAGTGTTTGATGTGATTTTCCATAGCATTTACATTGAAGTCAGAGTGGTTAGAGGGCCAATAGAGCCCTGAGTACCAGGCCATTTGGACCTGATGGTCATTAGTGAGTTGGGTACTACCAACGTATTTCCAGAGTGCATAAGAGGAGATTACATTTGACTGCGGTCATGATTCATGACTGCTGGTAATATGGTCACCACAACAGCCCTACCTGTAAGTAAATGCACTGCTTTTTAAATGGAAAAATCTTTCTTTAGGGCCAAATTTGAGCAAATTCTTTATTATACCATTAATAATGCCATTAACTCGATTCATTATTTGAATCGTTTGACAGCCCTACTTAATACATAAATGAATCTGGATTATTTCACTCTAAATCCACATTGAGATGCACAGTAAAGGGGAACAGTAACTGTGCTAAGAATCAGTGTCCTTCCCTCACCTTCTCTCCTCCCACCAGGAAGAGGTCGACGGCGACCATATTGATGCAGAGCTTCTGACAGAGGTCCCTGAGCACCTCCCTGATGGTGGCCCCCGGCCGCAGGGTCACAGAGGAGCACGAGCCATCCGGCAAGGTCACGCTGCAGTGCTTGGCGGAGCACTCCCTCACCCTCTCCCACACCGGCACTGAGTGACGATTGTCCCCCTACACAGGATAAACCATAGTCAGCGATAGAACTCAACGGAAGCAAGAGAGAGGACCAAGAGTTAAAAACCACAACAGTGTCTATGTTTTGTATTGAATGTAGTGTTTTCTGTTCATCCTGCCTGCAAACCAAATTTCCCTATGGGATAATGAAAACTAAGTTGAACGTCTGAACCTTGAAATGAACCCCCATTAAGTCATATGTTTCATATAACACCTGTCATAAACATTTTGACAGCGGCATTCCCAAGTCAAGAGGACTTTCTGCCAACATGCCACAAAACTAAGAGTCATGATCTGTATAATGTCTGCTTCTACTACAGAGCTATCTTGGTTCAGTGTTGCCATGGTGACCTGGCCTGGCCGTGCAGCGGGATGTTACCTCGATCTTGCCCGCTGAACAGGAAGTGGCCAGCTCCAGACTGGCACCTGAGGACAAGGAGCCCTGTGATTCCCTCCGACCGTTGCTGCCCCAGGAAGCTACCCAACACAGGAAGGCCAGGGAGGTCAGAGGTCACAGTTAGGAACTCATTCCACATGTAGACAGAAACCGCACTTAGTATTAGGGACAATACCAGTATTGCGATATTTTTTCCATGCAAAATATGAAAACAAGAAGCAGACCAAACTATTTGTTCCTTTAAAAACCTGCTGTATGTCAAATATTGTGTGCTATAATATTATAAATAAAGAAATGGGACTCTGGATGACAACATAATGATGTTTGTTTCCAACATTAGGGCTGTTTTTCTTTGTGTTTTGTTTCCTTGCCACGATACTAACTAGTATCGCGATACTGGTATCATCCCGTCCCTACTTACTATCCACACATCACAACACAACTCCACGTAAAAGACAAGCTATTATCCACACATCGTCACAACACAGCTCCACATAAAAGACAAGCTACTATCCATGCATCATCACAACACAGCTCCACATAAAAGACAAGCTACTATCCATGCATCATCACAACACAGCTCCACATAAAAGACAAGCTACTATCCATGCATCATCACAACACAGCTCCACATAAAAGACAAGCTACTGTCAAGGTAAAACAATTGCATTAACATCGGCAATGACATAAATCCGATTAAGCTCAAAACACCATTTGAAATGCAGCTTCAGAAGTTCACCTTTCATCATAACAAATGTATAGCACACAGTGCAGTGCAGTGCATTGCCTGACCAAAGAACCAACACCATAATGCATGCCAGAAAGCTTCATGTCAATATTGAAACCATACAAAAGAAGTTCCCTCCTGGGGAAAGAAAAATGTTATTTGAATTGAATACATAAGATTAACTCCTTGTGACATTCTATGACTAAGAGTCGCCCACCGAGGTTGATTTCTCCGATATCCTTTTTCTTGGGTCCCTTCCCGAAGCTCCGGTTCCGGGCCCAAGAGAAGAAGATACCCCGTTTCTTATGCTCCTCATGCTCGTCTATGGGGTCCTCGTTAAGTGACCTTCCTGACCTCTGCTTCCTGGCCTCCTATTGGTCAACAAAACAACTAGTTCAAACAACCTGTCTAACACCTGGGTCGTATACATTAGTGCACACCATAGGCAAACCATTTTGCTATTAAAAACATTTTGAAACAAAACATTTTTTTGCAATGGAAAACAAGTTTCTTATTGGACAAGTTCAGGTAGTCCCTTTTTTCCGTTTGGTATCTAGTGAATACGACCCTGAGGTTTTGAAGGTTAACAAACACCTATACTGGCTACAACACAAAATGTGCATCCCACAGGCGAATTACACAAATATCTGCAATGGTTACTAAGACAATAGCATATACTCTTTTGGCTGTTAAGGTTACTTTAGTACAAGGTGGGTACCTTTATGGGCGTGGAGAGGGAGAGGGAGGAGCTGGCGCTGTGCTTGGAGGGGGCGGGGCTACAGGGGATCTGGTAGGGATCAGGTAAAGGTCCTCCCTCCACCTCGGCCAGCATGCACTCCTGATACAGGCCAGACTTCAGGAACCTGGAGTAGCTGTCAAACTTCATCAGGTTGAAGATCTACAGACAAAATGGGGAAAGAAAAGGGTCTGGTGTTATAAAGGGTCACAATCGGTTATGACAGGTGTTATGACATATGTGGTAACAGCTATGATTAAGTCATGTTTGTAACAACATTGGACAGACCTACACTGACGTTGTACAGGCCTGTGAGTTTGTGTGTGTGTGTGTGTGTGTGTATGCCAGTTTGTGTTTGACCTTGGTAAAGCACAAGAGCCATTTTGGAAACAGGCAGATGACACTGAATAATAACAATTGTTCCAGCAGTGACACTGTGCTGCTCCTAGCCTTTTGTGTGTGTGTGTGTGTGTGTGTGTGTGTGTAAGGGTGGGTTGACAATAAAGTATATTATTATTTATTCAACAACATTACATAGTAGGCAGTTGGTCCTCTCAACTGTAACTGCTGAGCCTTGAACATGTTTGGACACGGGGAGGTGAGGACGTCGTCGGCTAGTTGGGCCTCTCACCTGTAACTGCTGAGCCTTGAACATGTTTGGACACGGGGAGGTGAGGACGTCATCGGCCAGTTGGGCCTCTCACCTGTAACTGCTGAGCCTTGAACATGTTTGGACACGGGGAGGTGAGGACGTCGTCGGCCAGTTGGGCCTGGCTATCGATGTTGACCGGCGTGGTGGCCTTACTGGACAGGAAGCTGTTGTAGATCTCCCCCGCCCTCTGGGATAGCTGGAGAGGAAGAGGATTTACAAACACACACACAACTATGACGTAACCCAGTCCATTGTTATGAAGGGGACTGATTCTAGTGTTTTACACTCAGCCACAACCGGATCCTCACTCAGCCACACAAGGTGCTGCACAAACAGCAGTTGACTTATTTATTTATTTTTTAACCCCCTTTATCTCCCCAATTTAGTGATTACAATCTTGTCTCATCGCTGCAACTCCCCAACGGGCTCGGGAGAGGCGAAGGTTGAGTAATGCGTCCTCCGAAACATGACCCGCCAAACAGCGCTTCTTAACACCCGCTTGCTCGCTTAACCCAGCCGCACCAACGTGTCGGAGGAAACACAGTTCAACTGACGACCGAAGTCAGCCTGCAGGCGCCCGGCCCGACACAAGGAGTCGCTAGAGCGCGATGAGCCAAGTTGAGCCCCCCCGGCCAAACCCTCCCCTAACCCGGACGACGCTTGGCCAATTGTGCGCCGCCCTATGGGACTCCCGGTCACGGCCGGTAATGACACAGCCTGGGAACGCAACCCCAGGCTGTAGTGACGCCGCAACACTGTGATGCAGTGCCTTAGACTGCTGCGCCAGCACCAAGACATTGTCTGTTGAGACACACAGACATATCCAGTATATTGAGGGCTCTTTTCTAATCAATCCATGACATCCAAAACCTATGGAAAAGATAGGAAAGTATGGTTTGGTCTTGGTGGTGTGTACGAGGAAGAACCGTACCTGCTTTTTGTCCGTTGCAGGTATATGACTGAAGTATTCGCAAGCCTGCCAGAACAAGATATTCTCCTCACTGAATTCCTTCTTGAGGAATTCCTGTGGAGACACAAACAACAGCTTTATCATACCTGCAGTAAACCTGGAGAGTGTTCTGGTCCAGTGTTGATTGGCTATATAGTTTACTATTGCTTCTGTTCAACAGAAGATAATGTTTTAATGCCTTCAAACTCAACTCTGGACCTCGACACCAGTTCCACTGCGTTTTTTCATTGTTGCCCTCTAATCAGGGACTGATTTAGACCTGGGACACCAGGTGGGGGAAATTAATTATTGGGTAGAAGAGAAAACCAGCAGGCTCCGGACCTCGAAGGGTAAGAATTGAATACTCCTGTTTTAATGTCTGAGGTAGCGTCATATTGATTTCATCCAACAGAATGGAGAATGAGAGAGAGAATTGTAACATCACGTAACATGCAAACTAAAACAACATTTTCTTGTTGTTGATTAGTGGTATATACTGCTGTTTATATTCCACAGAACACGTGTTTGGACGTCTGAGGTAGACGAGTATACATTTCATCTAACAGAATGGAGAATGAGAGAGATAATGGACTGTTGAGTTCGTTGGGTTTCAGATCACATAACTAAACTAACAGTGAACTAAAATGATGTGAACTAAAATAAAACTCAATTTCCCAGAGTTCTTTACTGCACGTACTGAGAAGTAACGGACGCCGATGGGGTCCTGGAGCAGACGCTCGAAGCATGCGGCCCAGCTGGCCACCCGGCGCTCTGACAGCCTCCTGTGGCTGCCGGCGCCGGGCAGACTGCCATTGCTGTTCAGACTGCTCTGGCTGCAGCAGCCCTGGAGCTGCACACTACCACCATGGTCTGGAGAGAGAGGAAAATGGTAGGGAAAGTGGTTAGGGGACAGGAGGGGTAGGGATGAGGACAGTGACTGTTCTGACAACAACAGCCTTGATACTGCACCATAGTCTACAGCAGAGAAAAGCTCATTCGGGGACACAATTCTAAGCTAGTTCTAAGAGGGGAGAAAATGCTATTAGTCTGTAACCACTCAAAAGAAGGGAATAGCTTGGGAACTGTGGAATCTAGAGAAATAGGCCTATTTAAGCAAGTACTTCCAAGGACGCACAGTTAGTGCCTGCTATCATGGCGGCAGATGCCCATTTCAAAGTCCCACCAACCAGAAAGCACAATAAGAACAACACAAAAGGAAGACAACAGGGTCTGTTACCAAAATGCTCTTGAATGGTCAATGTCAGGCAAGAGAAATGTTCACCATCTGCCAATGCTTACGGAAGTGAGGAATTTTAAGCCTCTGTTGGGAGCTTTCTGTAAACACTACACAGATGAATTCATAGCCTCCAGCACCAGGGGATCTGATCACTGATAAGCATGCACAAGCACAGGAGAAATTACAATGAGGTGTATCCTCTAAATGCTATTGCAAATATTACATGACAGCTTGGACACTGAATCATGACTGTTCGTGACTGACTACTTTACAACATTGTGAGTAATGCCTCGGGATACAGTCTAACTATAGAAGCTCATGCCTTTGTTAGCCAACTCGCCCAGCTGAATCAGTAGGTGTGTCAGCAGAGTTGTACAGGCATAAAACAAGCTGGTTTTTACAAGCCCTTACATCTCACATTATAAGACGCTATAGTTGTATTCCATTTTCAATTACACCAATCAATTTGTCCCAGACATTTGTTTATATTTTAATTTCAAGCTCTGCCAATTGACCTCGGTGACGTGATATTTGGTTTGGAGTTGACATGATATTTGGTTTGGAGTTAGCCGTATTAGATTTGATGGTTGGGAATCTTGTGTTTGCCAGCAGAGAGCAAATATGGGGCCTGTGTTGGTTTGTTAATGAGATGGATTTCAGGGTAAATAGCATAGCGTTTCTTTGCCACATCCTCAGTGAAAGAGCTAAGCAGCTCCTCCAAAACCACAGCCCCATTGACCATGGCGTTCAGCAAACATTATTAAACGTCTGTGAAAGGGGGAACCGACAGCAAACACCCAGACCCAAACCCTATCCTAAAACAGTGTTTCCCAACTCCTGTCCTCTAGTACACCCAACAGCACACATTTTTATTGTAACCCTGGACAAACATACCTGATTCAACTTGTCAACTAATCATCAAGCCCTCAATAAGTGGAAGCAGGTGAGTTTGTCTGGGGCTACAACAAAAATGTGTGCTGGCTTGGGGTACTCGAGGACTGGAGTTGGGAAACCCTGTCCTAAAACCCCTGAACAAGCGCCTTTTGTTGAGGTCGTAAATAAATAGGTTGACATCATATTCTGTGAGCCTGTTTTATTCAATAACTTCAGCGTTGCGTGTTGTGGAGAGCTTAATAAACACACAATAAAAAGCAAACAAACAGGAAACTGAGAAAGCCGCATTCAAGACAAAGGCACACAAAAAGTGACGATTATTTTCAACAAAAAGGTATATGGAGGGACAAAACGCCCCACTTGGCCCATGCTTGTTTTGGAACTCTTTCGTTGAACTCAACTTAAAGCTCATTACATAGCCTAGTACATACAGGTGCAGGAAACACATCTCTGTGCTGTGTTCCATTATCACAGATAAAGGGAGCGTAAGAACGAGTGTCATGAAAAGAAAAAGAGAAAAGTACTCACCGCCGTCTGAGGAAGCAGCCGACTGAAAGAGAACAAAGAGAGACATGAGTGAGAAGCTGAGAAGGTCATGACCTCCTCCTGCTCTGAGACAAGGAACGACTGGAGCCTGAGCGCAGAATGTGCTGTGTGTGTGTGTATGAAAAATGTATGCACTCACTAACTTTAAGTCGCTCTGGATAAGAGCGCCTGCTAAATGACTAAAATGTAAAATGTAAAATGTGTGTGCATGCGTTACTGCAAGGGGAGGGCCCCTGTTCTCAACACATGGTTATTATGTGGGATGTGGGTGGACCCAGCCCAGGGCCTCCGCACACACACACAGCTGTTCACACCTCAATACTAGGGCCCACCCCTCACCACACACACTCTACCTATGACTCACATGCTTTGGACACACAAAAACACACTCGGAGCACAAGAACACATTCAGAGACGCACACTCACACTCTCTCACTCACACACACACACACACACACACACACAGACAAAGGCCAAGATGTGGCACGTCCCTCTCACTGGTGTCGTGGTCAGACTAGAAGTCATCATGAGGAGCCACTTAAGCGGCCGTTGCTTGCACTAATAGGCCACATTTCACATGCTAATTCAGGGGCTGAGTGGGCAATGAAAGTCTATACAAGGCTATAGGCCACAGAGTGATCAGCAATTCTGACAAGCATCTTTGGAAAGACTACAAAAATGTATTTCACAAAGTTCTGGGGTGTAATCATTACGCCGATTCTGTTGCAAAACGTTTTGTCTGTTTACTCCAAACGGAAAACGCAAACGAGAGTTTCAATTGGACAAATTCAGGTAGGTCCCTCCCTGTTTGTTTCCGTTTGTTTCTTAAACGGTAAACGGTTTCCGTAATGAATAGTAGCCGGCCGTGACCGGGAGACCCATGGGGCGGCACACAATTGGCCCAGCGTCGTCTAGGGTAGGGGAGGGAATGGCCGGCAGGGGATGTAGCTCAGTTCATAGAGCATGGCGTTTGCAACGCCAGGGTTGTGGGTTCGATTCCCACGGGGGGTATGAAAAAAAAAAATATATATATATATATAATTTTTAAAAAAGTAATGTATGCACTAACTGTAAGTCGCTCTGGATAAGAGCGTCTGCTAAATGACGTAAATGTAAATGTGAATACACACTCCTGGAATTTCATTTATTAGCAAAATGGTCTCTTCTCTTCACACAAATAGGTTGATTTTATGCAGCAGCTACAAATGTTTACTTATCAAACAATTTGAAGACATTGCTGGGGGGAGAATGGCAGAAAACAAGGTATACCTGTTAACATTAGTTTGGTAAGGCTAAAATAAAGATTTACAGCTAAAAGGCAAATATTTTCAAATGCAGCATAGGAAATGAGTGGAGCATCGTTCAGCTTTGTCCAAGAACACTCTACAAATCAGTGTGTTGGAGGATAAATTTAGAAAGAGAGAGTGATTCCCGACGAGGTTATAAGAAGCCACTTCAGTGTGAATGTGCTGGTAGATACATTCACCTCCAAAATTATTGGCACCCATGATAAAGATGAGCAAAAAAGACTGTATAAAATAAATACAAATACTGAGCTACAGTTGAAGTCGGAAGTTTACATACACCTTAGCCAAATACAATTAAACTCAGTTTTTCACAATTCCTGACATTTACTCCTAGTAAAAATTCCCTGTCTTAGGCCAGTTAGGATCACCACTTTATTTTAAGAATGTGAAATGTCAGAATAATAGTAGAGAGAATAATTTATTTCAGCTTTTATTTCTTTCATCACATTCCCAGTGGGTCAGAAGTTTACATACACTCAATTAGTATTTGGTAGCGTTGCCTTTCAATTGTTTAACTTGGGTCAAACTTTTCGGGTAGCCTTCCACAAGCTTCCCACAACAGACTGGGTGAATTTTGGCCCATTCCTCCTGACAGAGCTGCTGTAACTGAGTCAGGTTTGTAGGCCTCCTTACTCGCACACACTTTTTCAGTTCTGCCCAAACATTTTCTATAGGATTGTGGTCAGGGCTTTGTGATGGCCACTCCAACACCTTGACTTTGTTGTCCTTCAGCCATTTTGCCACAACTCTGGAAGTATGCTTGGGGTCATTGTCCATTTGGAAGACCCATTTGCGACCAAGCTTTGAACTTCCTGACTGATGTCTTGAGATGTTGCTTCAATATATCCACATCATTTTCCTTCCTCATGATGCCATCTATTTTGTGAAGTGCACCAGTCCCTCCTGCAGCAAAGCACCCCCACAACATGATGCTGCCACCCCCGTGCTTCACGGTTGGGATGGTGTTCTTCGGCATGCAAGCGTCCCCCTTTTTCCTCCAAACATAACAACGGTCATTATGGCCAAACAGTTATATTTTTGTTTCATCAGACCAGAGGACATTTCTCCAAAAAGTACAATCTTTGTCCCCATGTGCAGATGCAAACCGTAGTCTGGCTTTTTTATGGTGGTTTTGGAGCAGTGGCTTCTTCCTTGCTGAGCGACCTTTCAGGTTATGTCGATATAGGACAGGTTTTACTGTGGATATAGATTATTTTGTACCTGTTTCCTCCAGCATCTTCACAAGGTCCTTTGCTGTTGTTCTGGGATTGATTTGCACTTTTCGCACCAAAGTACGTTCATCTCTAGGAGACAGAACGCGTCTCCTTCCTCAGCGGTATGACGGCTGCATGGTCCCATGGTGTTTATACTTGCGTACTATTGTTTGTACAAATGAACGTGGTACCTTCAGACGTTTGGAAATTGCTCCCAAGGATGAACCAGACTAGTGGAGGTCTACACATTTTTTTCTGAGGTCTTCTGATTTCTTTTGATTTTCACATGATGTCAAGCAAAGAGGCACTTAGTTTGAAGGTAGGCCTTGAAATACATCCACAGGTACACCTCCAATTGACTCAAATGATGTCAATTAGCCTATCAGAAGCTTCTAAAGCCATGACATCATTTTCTGGAATTTTCCAAGTTGTTTAAAGGCACAGTCAACTTAGTGTATGTAAACTTCTGACCCACTGGAATTGTGATACAGTGAATTATAAGTGAAATAATCTGTCTGTAAACAATTGTTGGAAAAATTACTTGTGTCATGCACAAAGTAGATGTCCTAACCGACTTGCCAAAACTATAGTTTGTTAACAAGACATTTGTAGAGTGGTTAAAAAACGAGTTTTAATGACTCCAATCTAAGTGTATGTAAACTTCCGACTTCAACTGTATATTGTATGCTCAAAACAATTGAGAAATTATATTACTTTATAATAATACAATTGCTCAGAGAAAGATATTTTGTTTAACAAGTAATTAAAAAAAATCTCTAAAAGGGATAACGACACTGAGCCTTTTGCTAAAATGTTAAAATTTGATTGGAGACCACATTGGGAGGGATGTTGGACCATTCCTCCATACAGAAAATTGGATATGTCTAGACAAGGCAATTCCAACCAGCCTAATGCTTGAGATAAATCATATAATATCGGGGACAGCAAAGTATTGCTATGCATAATTAGCTAAGCTTAATGTAAAAAGATTGCATAATAAGAGATCATTTAAATATCTTTGTGGATCTACTATTAGTCACAGCTGGGAGAAGCAATTTATGCATCTAAAATAACATCCTTCATTGATCAATGACTTGAGGAACATGTCCAGACACATTTTGTGCCCGCCCATTCCCAGTCAGTCTCTGAGTTAGTCAGTGGTAAATAATATTGGACCATCTGAGGGTTAGGGTTCATGGTCATGTGCACCCACTGTGGTCCATTCCATTTTGGGAGTGACGGTGACCAAATGTAAACCTTGCGTCAGGGTTTTCCCTCTCTCACAGTGGCGAACAGGCGGCAGTCCCAAGAACCACAACATCTAGTCTTCACTCAACAACCTCGAGGCTGCTGAACCAACCTCAAACAGACGGGTCCTAAAAGCCACCGCTGGAGTGGGGGCTAGACCACATACAGCCATGAGTCAAAGGGAGAGAAGATGAAGGGGTCAATAGAAAACAGAGGGGGGGAAATGGAGAGAACACCCACTCAACTGTTGCTTCAGTAGCACTGGTGGTTTAAAGTACTAGAAGCACCACCTTTTAAATACACAGTAGTCTCCAGTAACCACGTTTTATTCTAAACTACAGACAGCCATCATCTATGATATGACATACGTCTTGGTTAGTTTATAACTCATAAAACGTACCTACTGAAACCATGCAATTGGGTCATTCTATGAAAATGGTTGCTTTCCTGTCCCCCGCCTTAACCACCAGGAAAAACACTTAAAAACGTCCGATAATGACACAAAATGTATGTTTTTGTTTTAATTGAAGTGTTTTTTGTGTTAATAAAACATTTGTAAGACAGTTCTATTGCAATTTTTTTTATTTATATAGCATAGCTTGTCCCTCGTGTCAGGAGTCGTGGTTAAGTGCCAAATTTAGAGTTCAAAATATATTTTTTCACACCCTTTCAATGTCATAATACAAAGGAAAGTATTATAGTTATTTAGTGGATTACTTGAACTAAAATATCAACTAAATATTATAAATAATTTACAGGGAATTACCTGTCTCTCAATTTCATGTCCCTGGTGTTACCCCATTATAAAAACCACCATTAAAAAAAAAATGCAACATGCTTGCTGCTTCTTACTGGGTCAAAGGTTCTTTGGCTGTTTTGAAAAGCACATGGTGAGTCTGCAATTTCTCTTCTATTAGCAATTTGATGATTAATTTGAGCTACTATGTCCGCCATCTTATCATTATCATTAACCTTTTCTATCTTTGATTATATATTCAAATTAAATAGTCAAATTATTCTGGAAAGCCTGAATTTCATAAAAATATAGATAATAACAGGCATTTTTTTATGTAGCAAAAATAGCAAAATACATTAAGCTGCCACGTATGTTAATTTACATTTTAAGGGGTTGACTATTATCTGACTAAGTAAAAAAAAAAAAAAACATATAAAAAGAAAATGACTGGTCAAAAAGCCACCATTTTCGTAGAATGACCCAGTTATACAGGTGAGTGGTGGGAAGCCTAGCAGTTAAGCACGTTGGGCCAGTAACTGAAAGGTTGCTGGTTCGAATCCCAGAGCCACTAGGTGAAACAATCTGTCATTGTGCCCTTGAGCAAGACACTTAACCCTAATTACTCCTGTAAGTCGGTCTGGATAAGAGCGTCTGCTAAATGACTAAAATGTCAACGCAAAATTATTTGCTAGAGCAGTAGCCTAGCCAAATATTGTTTAGCCTAGTAGTAGTGTGACATCTCAAGGCTTTGTGTTTTGTTACATTGATGGGAAAAACAGTTGAGATGTCAGCCATATCCTGTTCTCTAGGATGATGGACTTCCCAACCAATCTTTCATTCATGTTGCCTCATAGGAGAGCATGATACAGTAAATCTCATCATGACAAATTGTGGATGATAGCCAACCAAATACCTTCCCTCCTAAATCACTATGTGTCATATGAGAAGTATTTCTGATTAATGATAATGATACATGTCAGATCATGTCATGTCAGGTTACCTTTCACATCATGTAGGCTACACTTCACCACACATAATCCATTAAAAAAATTGAAATGTCAACCCTCCTTTGATTTATCTCGCCACACCTACAAAAGTTGTTACACTTTTGATTCACGAAACAGAGTGTTTGTGTGTGTGCATGTGTCTCTGTGTGTGTGTGTGTGTGTGTGTGTGTGCGTGCGTGGTGCGTGCATCTGTGTGTGTGTGTGTGTGTGGTGGCAGCCCACAGGGGCTGCTGGGACCACACACACCTCTGTGTGTTTTCCAGCTCATTATTGCTTCCACACCCCTGTGAAGAGATCAAGTAATGGCTGCCCACCTCTGTTGTCTCAACTGCTCTGCTCTCTTCCTCTGTTCACACCTCCAGTGACTGGCTGGAAGGCACTAAACACTAGGCAGCAGGACCGTAGCTACATATGAGGACTGAGGTCCGGACAAATAAAATAAATAATTAGGAACTCAGTCGGGGTCTCAACTTACTGTTCAGAGTCAAAATAGTAGAATACACAAGGTGCAATTTCGAAACTTGGTTGTGCATAAGCAGTTTTCCTGTTGTTGTATGTCACTCAATCAATTAGGCCATGTCAGTAAAAAAACGTTAGATTGATAAATTTGTCTAGTTAGTCTAGCCAGCTAATCATGGCTGAATTACCGACCGAGCACACAGGGCACGTGCTCAACCATTGATTTGGTTAGTCACTCTCACTCAGATATCATATTAACATGGCATACGTCATGGCAAAATTGGTCAAATTACAGGAAATTAACTTTTAAAAACGGCCAGAAATTTCTCCCCACAACATGGCAAAATGTGTAGAATTGCAGGAATGTAGCTATAAAACTCCAACAGAAAAAGTTACGTAAAGCAAATGTATTTGTTCACTTTTTGCTAATAAAATACTTTTTCTGCTAACAGATCCCTCTGTACATATACAATTATAGTTTTTAATCCCGCTGCTGAGTTAATGTGAGTTAATGTGTAGTGGCTAATTGTAAAGCTAATAGGCTATGTGTTTGTAAATCGACTGAGACGAATGAAGCAACAGCAACCAATGTGATAATGGCTGGGGTCATTTTTTATGTTCTCCAAATAGCATTTTTTAGTTTTTAAATTGCATAGAAATGTAGTAAATGAGCTTACCTGGCTACGTCTCTGCTAGGCAGGACAAGCTTTGATCCTATCATTAGTGGGGTGGTTCAGCTTCACAAACCTCTTCAGCATTTAGAGCCAACAAAAGCAAATGTTTATACCTTTTGACACTCCAAATGGACAAAACAATATTTTTTTTAGCTACAACCAAGGCTTTATTGATCCATGAAGGCTTTGATCCACCACCAGTGGATCCTTATCCACCATTTGGTAAAGACACAGTTTACTGAAGTCCTGATGTTTTCATATAGCACAGGTTCTGGTAGAGAGCTCACGGGGGGTACACAGATTATACACTGATTGCAAAGTAGTAATGTAGGCTACAGTCAGGTCCCACATTATTGGCACCTTTGATAAAGATGAGCAAAAAATACTGATTTTATTATATACTTTTTTTTCTCTCAACAAGATGTCAAAATTATTTGCATCCCTAAATATTCGTATAAATTAAATTGCAACAAAATAAAATCTGCATTAACGTTATACTTTTTTTTTAAAATTAATCTCAGTTTAGGGAACTGTATTGTGGCCTTTACATGGATTCCTGTTTCACTGGGGTATAAAAATGAGGTAACACGCATGTAATATTCCTTTGTCATCCATCACCATAGGAAAAGGCAAAGAGCTCACAAACGAAAAGAGACAAATGGCTGTTGTCCTTCATAAATGGCAATGGGTAGAAAAAAAGTATATACCACTTACCAGTATTAGGACAACAATTAAGAAGTTTAAAACCACTGGAACAGTGGTAAACTTGCCTGGTATTGGAAGCAAGTGTATCTTGTGAGGAAGATGGTTCGGGAGGCAAAGAAAAACTTGGTCTCATCTTAGGGTCACCAAGTCTCCAAATTTACAATTAGATGTCACCTCCACGCCAATAGGCTCTTTGGAAGGGTTGCCAAAAAATGCCTTTATTGAGATGAATGTAAACACCTGGAGTTTGCTAAACGGCATTGGCACTTGGATTGGAACCGGTGCTATGGTCAGATGACACGAATATAGTGCTCTTTGGCCAAGCACACCAGTGGTGGGTTTGGCGTCGAAAGAAGGATGCATATTCAGAAAATAACCTCATACCTATGTTAAAATATGGTGGTGGATCTTTGATGTTATGGGGCCGTTTTGCTTCCACTGGTCCTGGGGCCCTTGTTAAGGTCAACGGCATCATGAACTCAACCAAGTACCAGGACATTCTAGCCAAAAACCTGGTAGGAAGCTGAAACTTCGTTACAAGTGGATCTTCCAGCAAGACAATGACCCTAAGCACACATCAACATCCTCAAAGAAATGTTTAATTGACCACAAAAATCTACTTTGTCTCCGGACTAGAACCCCATTGTAAACCTGTGGTTTGAATTGAAGAGGGCAGTCCATAATCGCAGACTGAAGGATATCAAGGATCTGGAAAGATTCTGTATGGAGGAATGGTCCAACATCCCTTCCAATGTGTTCTCCCATCTCACAAAACATTTTAGAAAAATACTCAGATGGGTTATCCTCGCAAGGGGAGGGTGCCAGAGTATAGAAAACAAGGGTGCCAATAATTGACACCAATCTTTTTCAGATTTATTTGTATAACTTGTTAAACAAAATCTATTTCTATGAGCAATCGTATTAGTATAAAATAATATAATTGTCCCTTTTCTTTGTATACAATATAGCTCAGTATTTGTATTATTTATTTTACAGTCTTTTTTGCTCATCTTTATCATGGGTGCCAATAATTATGGACCTGACTGTACATCTGATAGTGGCATCCAAATCAAATCAAGAGAAGAGCATGGCAGCCATGTGGGATGTAACCACAATGATGTTAAGAGAGAAATAAAACTAAACTTGTCCAATGTAAGCATTAACATATGGCAGCCACAGGCTATGCATACATTTCCAACACAAATGCGGGTTTGTCATAAACACCACACATTCAACACTGACCCAGGTACCAAACTGTAGCTCAGACCACTGTAGCTCAGCTGAGCTGTAGCTCAGACCACAGACCACGTCTACCCAACTGTTGCTCAGTTGGTAGAGCATGGCGCTCGTAATGCCAGGGTGGTGGGTTCGACTCCTGGCACCCCACGCACGTAAAATGTATCACTTTGGATAAAAGTGTATGCTAAATGGCATATATTATTATATTAAAGACCAGAGTTGTAGAAAAAGTTAAAACTATGCCAGATCACATCCCAACTTACTGACTTGTTTAAAACTGGGTTAAGAGAGATTGACTTTGTTGATCACAGAGAGAGAAATGCAGTTTCAACCTTCACGCAAGTTGAAGCAGTTCCTCTGTCCCAAAGCACAACTGTGAAAACAAACGTTACCACAATCAATGTGATTCCCCACTCCAGATAGACCTTAGTGAGAGAGAACGCCCGACACAGCTGTTTTGAGTGGGAGAGAGGAGAGAGAAAGAGAGAGGAGAAGAAAAGAGTGAGAAAGAGTGAGAGAGAGAGAGAGAGGAATTACTAAAGCAGATGCCTTAACAAAAAACAGGAGTCCTTTACCACCACAAGACAAAATAATGAAACTCTCCCACAAAGTTCTCAGAAGTTTACTTACGTTGTTGAAGTACCAGGCTTTCTTTAAGGAGAGTCTATTTTTGAGACTCATTGTTCTCAGAGTCTGGTGTATGCTAACAGGCAGACAGATATGTGTCTGAGCGCATACCTGAACACTCCCTACCAGGGGCGGAGCTTCAATGCGCACCCAAGGCAGCCAATGAGAGAAGCCCCCAAGAACGTTTGTCATATCATTGAAAAAAATCGTGATAAGCAGAAAAAATTATATGGTAACACTTTACTTGACACCCAGTGTCATAACACGTTATGACAAGGTCATAACCATGTCATAATGTCATAACAGCTGACATAACTTGTTATAACCTGTCATATGGTCTTAACACGGTCATGACCCATATATTTACACCTGTTGTGACATATATTACGTTATTTTATGGCTGGTTATGACACATACATAAGAGTGTCAAAACCCACATTTATTCCAATCAGTTTTTTTCCCTGCCAAGAAATGTCCTTTCTTTTGAAAGCTTGTTTCTAAAATCATTTGTTGTTTCAGTCATGTTTTTTTCATCATATTTTATTAAATAACTTGTAGAAAATATGCTTTATGACACTGTTATGAAGCATTATGACCATCCTGTGTCACTTTACTTGGACTAAGAAAATACACTTTATGACACTGTCAAGAAGAATTATGACCATCATAATCATATACGCCAGATAGGCCTATCACGTACATGCCCTTATATCAGTCATCAGTCAAAAAGAGGGTGTCTTGTCCAGCTCCTGAAATCTGCTCCTGCATTCATCCCAGTCATCAGCAACAGAGCATTGGGGTAGGTGCATGTCTGACATCACTGTGTGCGTAATTACAATTATCATTTTACATGGTCAATTAAAAATATATATATATATAACATAAACATACTGTTGACACATAGGCTATGGTGTAATGGAACGTTTTGCCTTGTGTGCTAGGTTTAGTGGGTTTTGACACTCTTATGTAGGTGCCATAACCAGCCATAAAATAACGCAATATATGTCACAACAGGTCTAAATATGTGTCATGACAGTGATATGACCATATTATAACAAGTTATGACAAGTTATGTCAGCTGTTATGACATATTATGACATGGTTATGACCGTGTCATAACGTGTCATAACGTGTTATGACGCTGGGTGTCCTGTAAAATGTTACCTTTATGTCTGCATTTGTTTAAGATATTACCTCGCATATCATTGGTGCATTCTTCTGTTGTCATGGATTCAAATAATGCATTTTAGGATCCAACCAATCTGTGACCGTCCACTCATTTGCGTTAGATCTAGCAGGCTAGCTAGCAAAAAATCAGAGCTATGGCTAGAATGGAACGTAGGTATAAATCTGGGGCTCAGAAGCGAAGACAAAAAGGAAGAACAGGATAAAAAGACCTGGTCATATGTGCCCTTAATACATTTCTTTAGTAAAGTTGAGCAGCATGAATATATTGAGACTAACAACAACGTCCCTGACACTGTCAGTGAATCTGGTGACCGTGTCAATGACAGAAGCAGCAGCTGCATGGCAGCATCAAATCAGGAAGGGAGGAATGAGAGTGCTCCGACTCCGACAGCTAGCAGCGAGGCCAGGGCAGGACAGGAGGAGGACATGACAAATGTTGATGTTGAGCAGGAAGGGAGGAATGAGAGTGCCACCAGCGAGGACCTCATTGGTAGGAATAACGAGGAGGGGAGGCCCTTGGCTATGCCTCGCACCCATGGGAGTGAAAGCTCCGCCCCTACTCCCCACCCAAATGCTGCCATCATGTCTGTACAAGTCGGAGAGAGCCGGGGAAATTTGAAGAGGTACCAGACTGGAGGACCTCAGTTCCCCTATACTCCTGCTCTCACTGTTGCCGTGGCAACCCACACGAGCAATACAGTACATTCAGCCTCCGCCACCACAGTGCGTGAGGGATTCGGATGAACACAACCCCCTGCTCCCTCCTCCTCGAAAAATGTCAAACCACATTGGCCTCTTTCCTATTCTTTTGTTTCCAGACACAGTATTATATATTCATTGCCTTGAGAGGGCTTGAGTCACTGATAAATTGAAACCAGATGAATTTTCAAATCAGATTGAGCATTTATTTAAAAATTTAACTGCTCCAGTTTATCCTCATCAGGTTGCACCGTTCAGCTATAATTTAATCCACCATAACTATCAACTCCAACTACAAAAGCAATGGACAATTTCTATAACCAAGAAAACAATGTATGATTTAATGAAAATAATCATGTCAAATATTTGACTGGTTCCACTAGCAGTTTTTCCTTTCCACAAAAGAGAAGGAAAATATGTTTTGAAACCTTTGGCATTGGAGTCGGACTGAGTCGCAGTTCTGATGCTCTTTGGCAATCTCTGGGATCTCTGTGCAAATTGCTTTGGACCCACTCTATTTTCCTAAACATGGGTGGCCCATTCCAAGGTTTTCCCATAGCTGATGGACAAGCCTTATTCCATTTCATTCCTCTCTTAATGTAGAGTTCCCATCATTTCATCATGGCCTAGAAGTGCTGTGTAACCATGGTTTCACATGCAGTATTCTTACCATGCTAAGATTTCACAGTGGATTGTTTAATGTCCTAGTGCATTTGAACATGGTATATCATGGTCTATTAATGTTTATCATGTGAATGTCCTCTCAAAAAAGAAAGAGAGTGAGAGAGAGAGAGAGAGAGAGAGAGAGACAGACAAAGAGAGAAAAAGTGTGTGTGTGTGTGTGTGTGTGTGTTATCTGCAAGGTTTTTAAACTAATACAAACTAATCTTGAAAAAACTATTTAGTAAACTGAAATAAGATAATTAACAAAACCGTTTGAAAAACTAAAACTATACTGAAACTATTATCTTTGATTGCAAAACTAACTAAAATATAAACCATCATGAATGATGTTACATTTGAGGTTTTCTTTCTAAATTGTCAGCAAAGATGTTATGGGGTTTTCAATCTTTAGGGGCTTTTCAAGCCTCTGAATCTGCTGGGTAAATGCTGCCAGGAGATGGTGATGTTTCAAATAGACCTTGCTTGTGAATCACTCTCACTGCAAGTGACTGGAGTCAATGCTGTAACTATGGGAATACATTTCTGCAAAGGCGGTAACATTCTAGCCAATGAGAGGGCAGATTCGCAAGTGAACAACAGGCACAGTTACGATATAACATTGTTTTCTCAAAGTTGCCGGGATGCCACTTATATCAGTACATTTGTAACAACCTAAACATTACGAAACTTCTATTCGATCAAATAAGCCTCACGTATTCAACACTCTCTCATTGAACGCCATACAAAAAATCCCCTTTTTGACTGGTTAATGCTTATTTTCGCACAGACAGATTTTGCTATCACTAGCGATCACTAGCTACAGTAGCACTAGCTATCAGGGAAGAAATCCGCTAGGTAGCTAGCATATCCAAAGGGCGAGAACGCCAGGCTAGTGGGTACAATTCCCGGGACACCCATACAGAAAATGTATGCACGCATGACTGTAAGTAGCTTTGGATAAAAGCGTCTGCTAATTGGCATATATATTATATATTATTAATATAGCATGTGTACAAATTTACCAAACACAAATAACAAATAACCAATCAATTTGTTTTGATTTCATGTGAGTCATCTTTCTAGATCAGTTCCTCATCCAATTGTCATCCTTACGATTCTTGCTTACTGACTGTGAGCTGTAAGAAGAAAGCTTTGCAGAAAATTCCCACACTTCTTGCTTACTGACATTTCCCAAAATGCCTCAGTCTGTTCCAACCATTGTCTATTGAGGCCCAGAAGGTCCTAATCATCCAAATGAAGGCATCCTATCATGAGACTCCATAAGTGGACTTAAAGATGGAATCCGCAGTAGGGGAAACAGCGCCACGGTCCTTCTTATTGTTTTGTTGACGAAGCGGAGGAGAGGCGCGTCGCCCAAAGTGGTATAAAAAAGGTGCAGACATATTCTGCTGTTCCATCGCACGTGTAATGATGTCCGAGGGGGGGGGGGGGGGGACTGTTTTCGTTGTTTGCAGTAACTTTTTTGTTGTTGTAATATCGCAAACAGACGTGACAGCTTTACTATTAAAGATTCCAGCTTTGATAACCCTTGAGCCAACACTCCCACAACCAAATCAATTAGTCAGATATTTCCTTTCCTCCCTATACTCCAATGTCAACGAGCAGCACTCGTCAGAAGTTCTAAGCAATCTCAAATTGAAGCAGACAACTAATCTCTGCCTGCTCTCTTATGGCAGACTACAAACTATTCCTCTGAAAACCACATCAGGAGAGGGTTTTGGAAGCCACTTCCTTTTGACTGGTAAGATGGAAAATAAATGTATTCTCCAACAGAGTGAGGAGAAAAAGAGAGAGGAGAGACTCCTCTGGCGATATGTGAGCGAGTGAAGATACCCCCGAGACAGAGAGACAACCTTGTGTTGTGTGCTTCAAAATGTTTTCACCGGGAAATCCATTTAGCCACAAAGCCATTGTAGGTCTCCTAGACACTGTGTAACATCAGCTCAGATCTGATGATGAGCTCATGAACGATGATTGAGTGACAGTGAGGGATAGTAAACAAATTGATGTGCCATCTACAGTGGGGAAAAAAAGTATTTAGTCAGCCACCAATTGTGCAAGTTCTCCCACTTAAAAAGATTAGAGAGGCCTGTAATTTTCATCATAGGTACACGTCAACTATGACAGACAAATTGAGAAAAGAACATCCAGAAAATCACATTGTAGGATTTTTAATGAATTTATTTGCAAATTATGGTGGAAAATAAGTATTTGGTCACCTACAAACAAGCAAGATTTCTGGCTCTCACAGACCTGTAACTTCTTCTTTAAGAGGCTCCTCTGTCCTCCACTCGTTAGCTGTATTAATGGCACCTGTTTGAACTTGTTATCAGTATAAAAGACACCTGTCCACAACCTCAAACAGTCACAATCCAAACTCCACTATGGCCAAGACCAAAGAGCTGTCAAAGGACACCAGAAACAAAATTGTAGACCTGCACCAGGCTGGGAAGACTGAATCTGCAATAGGTAAGCAGCTTGGTTTGAAGAAATCAACTGTGGGAGCAATTATTAGGAAATGGAAGACATACAATACCACTGATAATCTCCCTCGATCTGGGGCTCCACGCAAGATCTCACCCCGTGGGGTCAAAATGATCACAAGAACGGTGAGCAAAAATCCCAGAACCACACGGGGGGACCTAGTGAATGACCTGCAGAGAGCTGGGACCAAAGTAACAAAGCCTACCATCAGTAACACACTACGCCGCCAGGGACTCAAATCCTGCAGTGCTAGACGTGTCCCCCTGCTTAAGCCAGTACATGTCCAGGCCCGTCTGAAGTTTGCTAGAGTGCATCCAGAAGAGGATTGGGAGAATGTCATATGGTCAGATGAAACCAGAATATAACTTTTTGGTAAAAACTCAACTCGTCGTGTTTGGAGGACAAAGAATGCTGAGTTGCATCCAAAGAACACCATACCTACTGTGAAGCATGGGAGTGAAAACATCATACTTTGGGGCTGTTTTTCTGCAAAGGGACCAGGACGACTGATCCGTGTAAAGGAAAGAATGAATGGGGCCATGTATCGTGAGATTTTGAGTGAAAACCTCCTTCCATCAGCAAGGGCATTGAAGATGAAACGTGGCTGGGTCTTTCAGCATGACAATGATCCCAAACACACCGCCCGGGCAACGAAGGAGTGGCTTCGTAAGAAGCATTTCAAGGTCCTGGAGTCTCCAGATCTCAACCCCATAGAAAATCTTTGGAGGGAGTTGAAAGTCCGTGTTGCCCAGCGACAGCCCCAAAACATCACTGCTCTAGAGGAGATCTGCATGGAGGAATGGGCCAAAATACCAGCAACAGTGTGTGAAAACCTTGTGAAGACTTACAGAAAACGTTTGACCTGTGTCATTGCCAACAAAGGGTATATAACAAAGTATTGAGAAACTTTTGTTATTGACCAAATACTTATTTTCCACCATAATTAGCAAATAAATTCATTAAAAATCCTACAATGTGATTTTCTGGATTTTTTTTCCTCATTTTGTCTGTCATAGTTGACGTGTACCTATGATGAAAATTACAGGCCTCTCTCATCTTTTTAAGTGGGAGAACTTGCACAATTGGTGGCTGACTAAATACTTTTTTTCCCCACTGTACTTCCTAAAGGCAAAGTGGGCATGTAAGACCAAGGATCAAACTGAGAGGTTCATTCCTAAAATCTGACCATGGCGTGCATACAATCAGTGTTCATACATTTTTCATGACTTCAATGGGTGAACATTCATTGCTGATGTTCTGATGTACACTAGACTAGAGCTCTTACATGGGGCTATTTGTTTGCAACTTCAATAAAATGTCCACTTGTTTTGAATGATTCTACAACAAAGATCTTCTCACAAGCATACACGATGTCGCAGTCTCAATGTATTTGCCTTGAAGAGCAGCAAGGAAGGACATTGTTCAGGTCAAACCAGAAACTGGATCCCACTGGAGCCAATCAGCTGTGGTACACAACCATTCAGCTTTTGGTTTAATCCTTTCCAGAAACAAAGGCCTTTAACTGTCATTTAAGGTCAGTCTGATTTGCATGTGAACAACAGCCATTGTCCCCTTGCGTTTCATCTCCTAATCTCCCTGATCTGTGCTAATCACAGCCATTCTTCTTTAACGCTCTCCAATTAGCCGCTACAGCCACAGCAGATGGGGCGGCTCCAGTCTGGACATCAACTGGTATGTGTTAAACTGGTATGTTGTTGTAGACTACCTGATGTAAGTGTGAATGTGTGTGTGTGTGTGTGTGTGGGGGGGGGGGGGGGGTGTATAAAATCAAGCACACAGCCGTGCAAACTCCATAGATAAACATTGGCAGTAGAATGGCCTTACTGAAGAGCTCAGTGACTTTCAACATGGCACAGTCATAGGATGCCACCTTACCAACAAGTCAGTTCGTCAAATTTCTGCCCTGCTAGAGCTGCCCCAGTCAACTGTAAGTGCGGTTATTGTGAAGTGGAAACGTCTAGGTGCAACAACGGCTCAGCTGCAAAGTGGTAGGACACACAAACTCACAGAATGGGACCGGCGATTGTTGAAGCGCGTAAATATTGTCTGTCCTCGGTTGAAACACTCACTACTAGGTTCCAAACTGCCTCTGGAAGCAACGTCAGCACAAGAACTGTTCATCGGGAGCTTCATGAAATGGGTTTCCATGGCCGAGCAGCCACACACAAGCCTAAGATCACCATGCGCAATGCCAAGCGTCGGCTGGAGTGGTGTAAAGCTCGCCGCCATTGGACTCTGGAGCAGTGGAAACGCGTTCTCTGGAGTGATGAATCACGCTTCACCATCTGGCAGTCTGACGGATGAATCTGGGTTTGGCGGATGCCAGGAGAATGCTACCTGCCCAAATGCAAAGGGCCAACTGTAAAGTTTGGTGGGGGAGGAATAATGGTCTGGGGCTGTTTTTCATGGTTCGGGCTAGGCCCCTTAGTTCCAGTGAAGGGAAATCTTAACACTACAGCATACAATGACATTCTAGACGATTCTGTGCTTCCAACTTTGTGGCAACAGTTTGGGGAAGGCCCTTTCCTGTTTCAGCATGACAATGCCCCTGTGCACAAAGCGAGGTCCATACAGAAATGGTTTGTCGAGATTGGTGTGGAAGAACTTGACTTGACTGGCCTGGACAGAGCCCCTACCTCAACCCCATCGAACACCTTTGGGATTAATTGGAACGCCGACTGTGGGCCTAATCACCCAACATCAGTGCCCGACCTCACTAATGCTCTTGTGGCTGAATGGAAGCAAGTCTGCTGATGTAAAAAGGGCTTTGTAAATACATTTGATTGATTGATTGAAGTCCCCGCTGCGATGTTCCAACATGTAGGGGAAAGCCTTCCCAGAAGAGTGGAGGCTGTTATAACGGCAAATGGCGGGCCAACTCCATATTAATGCCCACTAGGCCCTGTGTAGCTCAGTTGGTAGGGCATGGCGCTTGCAACGCCAGGGTTGTGGGTTCGATTCCCACGGGGGGCCAGTATGATTATATATATTTTTTATGTATGCACTCACTAACTGTAAAGTCGCTCTGGATAAGAGCGTCTACTAAATGACTAAAATGTAAATGTATTGATTTTTCAATGAGATATTCGACAAGTAGGTGTCCACATACTTTTGGTCATGTAGTGTATATATCTGTATCAGTGTTAGCCAGGCCATAATAGGGCAGCCATGACAGTGATAACACGTTAGCTGGGAGTGTTACTGTGTTAGCATTCCTCTCACTGGAGATGTTTACCTTTCTCATTCCTGATGCTCTACGTCTCTCAGGGTCAAACACACCAAACCCAGGCTATATAACAGACACAACTGAGCGTTTCCTCCTTGTTCCAGAAACGGGTAATATCAATTTAACCCCGCCTGACCCTTCGTACAGGTACAGTGACCTAATGTCTTTCCGAGGCATGACATTCGCTCCATTAAGCAATTACTAGTGTTGCTCTGAATACAAATACGTTAGTGTGGCGGAACCGCAAAAAATGTGTAACTTCATTTAGAATAGATTGGATAACATCTGAGATCTCAAACTTTCATAACAGGCTTACTGTACAGTGTGTGACGTTAAACGTTGAGCTGAAAACATCTTTGCGGTAAATCAGTTGAGGAACATTGAGGAAGACCGAACTGGTCCACGCAACAAAAATATTCAGACATGGGACCTCGGTGACTTCACGGCCTCGTTGACTACGATGGAGGAGAGGCTCCCCTCCCATGAGCCTTGAAGGCATGCAGAGTTGGCCACATAAGACCCCAACATATTCTCCCCACTTTCTCTCCCACAACTACACAAGAAATGGGCTTTCCAAACTGAAACCAGGCACTTGTAATTAGCCCTTAGCTTCTTCCCCCTTAGTCTCCCCAAAATAGCCCCACTACAGAGAGAGAAAGCTTGAAGGGTTTCTTGCAGTGTTTTGAAAATCAAGGGTGATCTTACTTGGGCAGCCCGCCCATTAGGGCATTAGGAGCGGCGCCCCACTTGTCATTGGTAAAAAAAATAACACTTGTGATTGGTCAACAAAATAAATAAATAAATCTATATTTTTAGATAATATATTTCAAAAATATATTGTTCAAAACAAGCTGTTCAGTGTACTTACTACTCTGCCCCTCAGTGACTGCCAGCAGCAGCAGCTCCGCCTCCATGGGCGCACAGGCTTTGCGAACATTGCTTGGATTTTTTTGCCAGCTATTGGCTATGAGAGGGAACTGCTAGCATAAATTATAACAGCACAAAGTAAATGGACCATCCAAGTCTTTCTAAACTCATATCTGACTAACTCGGAAATATGAAGTTATATCAGAATGAACATTAACTGGCTAGCGCATCATGCTTTGTGACATTATGGTAGCTAGCTATCCCCACTTAGATAATGTGTTTTCACTTATTGCGTCTGTATGCTTGTTGCGTTCTACCTGGTGCACTCGTTCGTTCGTGAGCTGGCTGCTCATTTTAAATAGTATAATCTAATCTGTTCAAAACTGAGGCAGCATGTGCAGCAGTGGTCATTCGGTTTTGACATGCGAAAGTGAAATTGGTGTATTTATGCTGTTGTTCAAATGCAGAGATCGCTTTATATACTGTATCTTCTCAAAAAAACTACTGGTAGGTCGAAAACATGGCATCATATTTCTGTCATGCTGCTTTGCCCCGAGTATTTAGCCAATCAGCGGCCGACACTGGTGGTTTTGTTTAGCCTATGATGATGAGAGGGCCTTGTGATTTGTAGGCTTGGAGTTTTTCAGTGTGTAACCAGACTAAGGGAGATGGACTGGTGTCACGGATCCCCCCGGTACTGCTGCTCATTCCGTTCACCAGCTCCGGAGGTCTACGTCACTGGCCTTCAAGGCGTCACTGACCTGGATCATTACCACCAACCCCAGACTGTCTTGTCTCATTACGCACACCTGGTTCCCATTCCCCCTGATTAGTATGTGTATATATGTGCCCTCTGTTCCCCATTGTCAATGTCAATTATTGTCCCATGTCAGTTGGTCTCGTGAGTACCTGTGCTCTGTTGTATCGGCTACGTGTTACTGTAAATTGTATTACGGTTTACATACCATGTAATTGTGCACTTGTTATTATGGGTCTCTACCCTGTATTATTTAGAGGTTTACACCTCGCTCTTTTGTTTGGGTTACATCCCTGTGTTATATATATGTGTTTGTTTTGGGCTTCATCCCCGTCGTTTTTCATGACGTACCTTATGTTGGGTAGAGAAATAAAAAACCCTATTACGTATTCCTGCGCCTGTCTTCTATCAGTATACAACGTGACAGAATAATCAAACCAGCGAAAGTGGAGACAGCGGGAAAGGCAGAGCTGGCGATCATCGTAGAGACAGTCCAGCATAATGAGGACTGTCTCTCCAGACTCGGCAGTGCCATGGACAGCGTGCTGGCAACCATCCTGCGTTTGGAGGGGAATGTGCAGTCCCTCCAGTCTCCAGCACCGGTTCCGGCACCACCCCCCACACCACTATTACCTGCCTCCGTCCCATCTGAGCCGGTCCGCGGAATACCCCTGTCCTTCCCGGAGCGCTTTGACGGCGCGCCAGCGAGATGCAAGGGATTCCTTCTCCAATGCGACCTGTGCCTTGCTCGCTCAGCCGAGGCTGTCTCCGGGAGAGACAGGGTTGCCACAGTCATCTCGGCACTGACCGGACAGGTCCTGGACTGGGGTGCCGCGGTCTGGGAAACGGGCGGACCCGAGGTCGAGTCCTACGAGTGCTTCACCCTCCTCTTCCGCTCGGTGTTTGATCATCCTGTGGAGGGCCGAGAGGGGGGTGAGCGTCTACTCTGACTACGCCAGGGATCTAGGACCACCTCGGAGTTTGCCCTGGAGTTCCGGACCATCGTGGCCTCCACCGGATGGAACGAGTCGGCTCTGGTCACCGTTTTCGGCAGCGGACTGCAGGAGGAGGTACAGATGGAGTTAGCCTGCCGTGATGACAACCTGTCACTTGACCAGCTCATCAGCATGGCGATCCGGTTGGACAACCTCCTGCGGTCTCGACGAAGAGCCGATGAAGGTGGGCTCTGCACGTTTGTCCGAGGCAGAGCGTAGGAGAAAGAGAAATCTGGGCCTCTGCTCCTATTGTGGAGAAAGGGGTCATTTCTCCCCGACCTGCCCTCCATTAATAGGCGAGGAGGTGACAACCCAGGGAATTCCCCTGCTCCAACCCAGGTAGGATGCAAGATCTGCTCTCCTTTTCTGTCAACTCAACCAGTGTGTTTTTCCATTAAATTCCCTGAATACCCTAGCCCCTCACTCCCGTTAGCTCTGATTGATTCCGGAGCTGCCGGGAATCTTTTAGATAGCGCACTGGCCACTGCATTACGCATTCCTTTTGTTCCCCTACAGTCACCCATTCCGGTTCGATCCCTGGATAATCAGGAGTGTCAGGGGAGGTGTCTCGTGGTGTCCGGACCACGCCACTCAAGTGGATTTACCGGAGGAATACCAGGATCTGGACCGGGTTTTCTCTAAGACCCAGACTACACGCCTGCCTCCTCATCGCCCCTGGGACTGTGCCATTGACCTGCTGTCTGACGCAGCCCTCCTGAGAGGACACGTCTATCCCCTCTCCTACGCGGAGACTGTGGCCATGGAGACCTACGTACAGGAGAGCCTCCAGCAGGGTTTTCTCCGCCCCTCTATGTCACCAGCCTCCTCAAGCTTCTTTTTTGTTAAGAAGAAAGATGGGGGACTGCGCCCCTGCATTGATTATCGAACACTGAATAAAGCCACCATTAAGTTCAGCTATCCTTTACCCCTCATCCCAACCATCATCGAGCAAATGCACGGGGCGCGGTACTTCACGAAACTGGACTTGAGGAGCGCCTACAATCTGGTGCGCATTCGTGCAGGCGTCCTCCAACCTATCAGAGCTCTTGCAGCATGAACTGATATGTTGTCCACCCAATCAAAGGATCAGATAATTAATCTAGTACTGAAAGCATAAGCTACAGCTAGCTAGCACTGCAGTGCATAAAATGGTGTGAGTAGTTGACTCAAAGAGAGAGAAAGACAATAGTTGAACAGTTTTGAACAAATTAATTTATTCCAAAATGAAGCAGGAGCAAGAGAGAGACAGAGAGAGAGAGAGAGAGCTATATTAGGCTTTTTTTTTCACTTTCACTTACAGTGCCTTCAGAAAGTACTCAGAACCCTTGACTTCTCTACATTTTGTTACATTACAGCCTTATTCTAAAATTGATTAAATAAATAAAAATCCTCAGCAATCTACACACAATACCCTCTAAATTCAATTGATTGGACATGATTTGGATAGGCACACACCTGTCTATATAAGGTCCCAAAGTTGACAGTGCATGTCAGAGCATAAACCAAGCCATGAGTTCGAAGGAATTGTCCGTAGAGTTCCGAGACTGGATTGTGTCGAGGCACAGATCTGGGGAAGGGTACCAAAACATTTCTGCAGCATTGAAGGTCCCCAAGAACACAGTGACCTCCAATATTCTTAAATGGAAGAAGTTTGGAACCACCAAGACTCTTCCTAGAGCTGGCCACCCGGCCAAACTGAGCAATCGGGGGAGAAGGGCCTTGGTCAGGGAGGTGACCAAGAACCCGATGGTCACTCTGACAGAGCTCTGGAGTTCCTCTGTAGAGATGGGAGAACCTTCCAGAAGGAAGAACCTTCCAGAAGGACAACCATCTCTGCAGCACTCCAGAGCTCTGTCAGAGTGACCATCGGGTTCTCCCATCTCCAATTTACTGCCACCGGGGCCTGCCGGTGTAACTGCTAAACTGCTTGCTGTACTGCGGGTTTACTAACGCGTTAGTTCTAGTAGCTATGTTGACTAGCTATGACGTTAGCTAATATGTTGACAACAATATAGGCTGTGTGTAGCGGTTAGCGGTTATGATATGAAAGTTTGGCTTTGAAAGTTTTTTTTCGCCTGGTCACAGATAGCTGATTTGTTGTGCAAGATGGCACTGAAGTCCCCAAGTGAAGGGAAAAGGTGCGAGGAGGAGAGCTTGTAGATGCGAGAATGAATACAACGAGGAAAGTGATCATGCTGTTTGTATGTAGCTGCTATGAAAGTGAACTGCACGTGATCAGGGGTGTGCGTATTCATTCCGCTGATTCTGTTGAAAATAAAACCTTAAACAGAATGAAACAGAGATGAACATATCTGAATTTGTCCAATAGAAACTCTTGTTTGCAACTGTTGGCCTAATGATTACACCCCAGATCAGCTAGATGCAGGCAAGAGTGTGCAAGGTGGTATTAAATGTGTCACTGTCTGTCACCTTGATTACTCACATTTTTCTCTCGACCTGTGCGCCTACATTGTAAACTTTAATTCATAGACTAGGTTGTAGCAACTTCATGATGGGGATGGGGGTTTCGGTTAAGTCAGTCCCCACAGGGGAAAGGCGAAGGGATGTCGTCGTCTAGTTAGTCCTCATGGGTATTTGGCATGGGGACAAGTTCGGGGCAACTCTCAGAGGGGCAAAAATAGACTTTCTGGAGGGAAAAAGACAGAGACAGTGTGGATTGGTGTGTTTATGTACAAACTGTTACAGAGACTGAGTGGGTGAGAGGAGAGAGAGTTATGTGTTCCGCTGTATAAAAATAAACAGAAATATTATAACACACTGGTGTCATCTAATCCAATTTAGCTTCCATAGGCCGATCTATCCATCCTTTGAACCACCCACATCTTCCTACTAGAGAGAGTTGTGGCCCGCTGTATAAAAATGCAATGAAATAAATCTAAAATACTGATGCTAAGTAATCCTAGCATTTATATCTATATGCATCTTTTATCCACCCACCCATGTGTGCTGTGCCTTTGGGGGGATTAGAATGTTAGATGCAGTTCTCAGGTCAGTTTTCCTTTAATAGCCTCCTATAGGGAATGGGGAGGGTAAACTGATCCTAGATCTTTCATTTTAGGGGCAACATCCACCTCAAGCGCCTCTGGAAATACCATGACCACATACCATGTGCTGTACTTTATAGCACACACCACAGGACTTGCTGCTTTACTCAACAGAAAGCAACTAGGTCACACAATAGAATACTACATTAGTCCTGTGTGGCTCAGTTGGTAGAGCATGGTGCTTGCAACAGCAGGGTTGTAAATTTGATTCCCACTGGGGCAAGATATGA